AGTCCGTTGTACAGAAAACGTGCCATGTCGATCATATATTAAAATCAGTCACTGTGAAATGTCGTCCGACTATTAATGTTCGATGTGGGTTCATAAATACGATAATTACCACAGACAAAATTATTATCATTAGCAAAATTGCTAATTATAATGACCTTTCTTTTCCATAAAGAATGAAACGGATATTAAAGAAGTAAAAGAATTTTGAGAAAATGTGGAGATGGAGCAAAATACAAAACTGTTCTCTAAAATTAAAATATAAGAATATAAGTATTGCAGAAAAAATTCTTTCAACTCTTGTTTCATAAATGATGATCCGATATCCCATAGATGGCATTCACTATTACTATGGAGCGTGCATTAGAACATATTGAATATATTAATGAAGTGGGCCAGCAACGTAAAAATTTATTAAAAAAAAGAACGAAAGAACAGGAAGAGGCAAGTATGATCAATCATATCATTGAAATATGAATTTTCTGATTATGAATACATTACCTTTTGTGATTTCTTTTAGGAGGGAGAATGTTCTACAAGGGAACTCAGAAATAGTGTACCTGTTGATTATAGTGACAGTTTGAGTGAAACTGGCTTTTCTGATTTGGGCCATGAAGAGAGTGTAAGCAACACACTAATTGTAAATGATGATATATAGATTAATATTAAAGCATCTGTACATATTTTAACAGGTGGCAGATAAAAGAAAATGGCATGAATATGATCATGATAGTGATGTAAGTTGATATTTGGATTGATTGATTGATATGTGATATGTTTTCATGTCCAAAGCTATATATTTTATATTAGTATAAACCAAGTAACAATTCGTCTATTTTCTCTGATTCGGATAATCAACAAAAAAAGATAGGCAATACCATCAATACCATCATCAGGAAATTTTCCCCGCCATAATATTACGTCCATAAATCTTAATATGTAAAGTTGTAATATTTGCATAAAAAATTATGTAATATTTACACTCAATGTAATAGTTGCATAGGTTTTTGCATAATATTACGGGTCCCGCCATAAATTTGCATAAATAGTGTAAATCCGCGTCAGAAAAAATTGCAAAAAGTGATAACATGTAAATCAATATTAAATGACATTACATGTAATTTTAGTGGAGGGCCAATAAAGGAAAACAACCGGAATCAATAGTGACAGTGAGATATAATAACAGAAGTGTAAATTATTTTTAGTCGATATTTCTTTGGAGATATTTGTTAACATATTTTTTTTTATTGGTGGTTGTATTAAGTACTAACTCACCACCTATTTCTCAACCATCACAAACTCAGAACAGTCCCCTAAATTCTATATAAAATAACCTAACAATGCCACAAGAACAATCACCAACTGTGATAGTTATGAACCCTACCACCCAAATCCTGCATTTTGATGATTTCTCATGGGGTGAAACTAGATTTGTGAGGACTCCATTTCCAAGGCCTAATGTTAATAATGCTTAATATACAAGTTACTCCTCAAAAGTCATTGCTTTTTAAGGAATCCATAACTTATCTACAAAATCATATAAAAATGAATGTAAATGATCAAGGAATGATAATAAAAGACAACCATGCATCAGTAGATATTTCTAGCATAATCCGCAATTGGCTCGCAACAGCATTATCAGTAAGTTATCATTAATTTCTTTTAGGTGTTAGTGTGATAGCAAATTGTATTTATTAAAATTTCTTTATTCTAGTCAACAAAAGAAGAGTTCGTAAAAGCTATCATGGCCCCTTTAAGCTCAGAAGCAAATCCAAAAGATCATGATTTCGTCAAATTTGCGAGTTTGTCCTTTATGATTTGTATGTGTATTATAATCCATATTTTTTTTGACATTATAAGTTTACTGATATACTTGTTATTTATATTGGTTCAATTAGTTATTTCACAACGAAGGAAGATCCTTTAAAAAGAAACATTGGAGAACATACATTTATTGTCAAAAGAATTGTCCCCTGTTTAAAGCAATCTAGTCAGTATATAAAGAGTACAAGTTTCATTGGATCGAAGTCGAGTTGGGTTGCATGGGTGAAGTGAAGAAGATATTCCCGAAATTTGATTTAACAATAAACCAAGCCGATGGTTTAGTTAGGGGTACGGAATTCAAGCAACAAGGTGGTTATTTTTATCATAGTATCGGGTGGACCTGAAAACACAGATTCAAAACGCGTGAAAGAAGATTCAGAAAAGCTTCTAAAAGAAGCTGTATTCGGTCTTGTTTCTCTATTATAAAATTATTTGGACAAAAGCATGGAAGAATCGAAGAAATTGTACGCGTTCATAATTCAGAGCATTAGTAATTTATTTACTGCACTCTATCAGTCATTCATTAATTATTTTATAACATAAAATTTATATGGAAATATTTGTTAGGTGACCGGTTAACATTTAGTAAGCTATGCCTTATAAATAAGCATGTATACAAAGTTTCACAGGTCAAATCTGCAACACTACCATTTGAATTTATTGATGCAGCAGATTTTAATTTTAGGGCTCTATCATCAATCATTGTTACGACTTGGCCATGTCCATATAAAATATTCACATGTAAAGAATGGAAGCAAATTGTTGATCCAAATCCATTAGAATTACCAAACCTGTTTTACCATCTTCATCATTGCTTGATGTGACAAATCTTCATGCGTTAGGGCTTGAAAGTAATTAGAGGAAAAACGATACTGAGCTGAGCAAAGTTGCTACTCGCGTCTTTGAACTTCTTTGTACTCTTGTGGTAGGAATTTTAAATATGCTGAATACATTTATTAAATATTGCATAAACTTCAACATAACATTCATACTTAATTTTCAGGGCGAGCTTGAAATTCAATTAATAAATTAAGGCTATCTGGACCAGTTGATGGCATCAGTGTACCAAGAATTCGAGATTAGATTTGGCCTCCTGATTCGGTTTCTGCATGGGAATGTAAAGAGATTCAAAATGAAGTGTGAATTACAAATGTATTGATATTTTCAATTGCGATCCTTTTTATAATTGAGAAAATTTCCAAAACTAAAAAATTTCAAAAGAATCAATATTAAATATTAAATATTAAATTCATTTCATAATGTCAAAAGCTCGCTGTATTCCTGTTACTCTTTTAAATAACAGTGCTTTAGTGAGCGAATTACGTTATGGACCATTCTCGTTATGATGGCAGTCTTCTAATAATGAAAAAGTGTTTCCAACTCATCTGAATGAGCATGACTTTTAGTACATGAAAATAAAGAAAACTGCCATCTTCCAGGTTATATTTGTGAAACTAAGACTGCTCGTAGTGTTAAAGGAACCAGCCCATAAATGCAATTTTCAGTATATATCAACTAATGTTTGATAATATGGTGACTAAATTTTCTGGTATATAAGTTATAGGATGGAATGATAAAGAAATTGTAAATAAGCTTTTGTCGTTTGTCCTTTTTATATTTTTTTAGGTGATTTGAAAAATTTCATCCACTCAATAGGATGTTCAGAGTAAAAAATGGAGGGACTGGTTATCAATCATTGCTTTATTTGTTTCAACGATAGAAGATGATGTTTTGTATTACCAAAATTTACCATGAACATGAGCTTATAGATTCATTTGAAGATACATCACCAATTGAAGTTTGGAAAAAAACTAACTAACTATTTTCAAAAATATGATGGCTACCAATTCTTTTGGTTTAGATAATATTATCGCTCAAGATTTTATTAAAAAACATAAAGTTCCAGATGAATGGAATAATTTTTCACTTGTGGAAAATCTTTATGACTACAGTTTGAAAGAGAAGGGCTCTTGCCAATATAAAAATGGCATAAATTTTTTACTAATTGGTCGGAGAAGGAAAGTACAATAATCGAATTGTCTTCTCAGCTTGAAATATTTTACCAAAAAAAATTATGAAATGAGAGTGAGAATTAGGTGTATAGCATGCAATGTTACGTGCACCAGGTTGTCATAATATCATACCATGAACCCGAGACGAATCAAAGGTAACATCAAACATATATTAATTTGTCTATCACTCAAAAAGACTAATGGACAAATCTCTCTCTAGATCATATTGCAGAAAAATCCGCCATTCATTCTAATAAAAATGGGTTTTTTGGGTTGTATATGAAATTAAAATTTTGGGGTGGGGTGTTTGTATATGAAATTCTGTTTGGCTAATTTGAATTTCATGTACGTGAATTGCAAATTCACATAAAACTCATAAAACTAAATAGATAGAAAACTAAATAGTAATAGATAAATATATTAATATACATATATAAAATAATTTTGACCCCCAACGCGAAATTTTTATTTGTCATGCATACAATAAAATAAAATAAAATATAATGAAATAAAATACAATATATATAATACATAATCATGATAAAACGTGATAAATTTTTTAATACCAAACATTTGCCTTACTAAACTTCAGTCCTAATTAAATAATAATAAGCATATATGATTAATGATTAATTTTTTAAAAAAAGTTTTTTTTTTTAAAAAAAATTCTTACCATTTAGGATGTGTCTTGATTTTTTTTTCTGCGTCAGGATCGGGCGTTCTGCTAGGTGATATGGGATCGGCGAAAGGATCCTCGAAGGGATCATCGGTTAAATTTTTGGAATAGACACTGTCTATATTATTCCACGATTTTTTATTAGATGTAGTAGAGGAGCTAATAACAATGGTAGTAATAATGATGATGATGGTGATGATAATTATTATTTAAGTAATTTTTTAAAATTTTATGAATTTAAATTATTTAAATAATTATTGAACTTACGTGGATGATACATACGAATCAAAATCAATTAAATCATCAAATTCTTTATTTGACTATTTTTTTTGTATTTTTATTTTTTTTATTTTGATTAGTTTCTTCTCCCTTAAATTTATAAATCAAATAATAATAAAATTACCTTTGTGTAATCAAATGATTTTTTTTCTCTAGTATTATTTTGTAATTTTGTCTTTTCGAAATTAGAAGTTACATCATCCAAATCTGATTTTTTGCAATCTTCACAATATTTTGAATATAGTTCTAAAGCTCCTTGTATTTGATCATTACATTGTAGCAAAGGACCTAATTGAGTACCACCAGAGATTGTAGGTATAATTTTGAATAATTGCTCTGAAGAAGCTTTACATTTAGCAACACATTCTTGTAATTCATCATCGTTTTCAAAGTCCATATCAGGATTCAACAAAGTAATGGCATTAACCAAATTTGTAGCATTTTGAATTGCTGAACCAATTTCTTGATTAACCTAAAGTTTTTAAAAAAAATTTTTAATAATTTATATAATTTGTAATTTAATAAATAATAATTTTAATAATATTTACCTGAGAAGGAGTATATTTTTCCGGTTTATTTGGTTTACTTGATGATTGTCGTTCATGTTGTTTCTTTTTATTATTTAGATTTTTCATTGTAAACTTGTTATGTTTTCCATTCCTGGTTTTTTTTTATAATTATTTGACCATTGAGCAAATAAAATCATCAATCTCTTATGAACTTCATCGTCAGTACTCTAATCATAGATAGATGTATGGATGGATAGTAATAATAATAATAAATGAGAAAAAAATTATTATTAATTTTTTTTGGCATAAGATATTTTTATATTTACCGACGATAATGCAAGATTTTTAAGTTTATCGATAAATTTGTGTGAAGCAACATAAGCTAAATTTTAAAAAATAAATTGTTGATTAACAAATATTTCATATAAATAGATATTTAATTAATTGATAGATTATTTTATTTTTTGGGAAACAAACGATGAATTTTTTCACAATTTTCCATCAATGGTTGTAAAATCTATTTTTGATTGAAAATAAGATTGATAATTAATGATAATCATAGTAATAGTAGTAAAAAATTATATTAAAATTTACCGTCAATGCCCTAAGTTGTGAATGCTTTGAACCGTATTTAAACACATTCCTCAATGCTTGGCTGGCTTCTTTAGGACTTTTTAATGAGTTTATAATGGTAATATTATCAATTAATTTAAATTTAATATGAATATAAATATGATATTATATTAATTTACCCAGTTTCTTGTAGATTGATTGCCTCACACAATATAAATATATCGTCCAAGTTGTCTTCTTTATATTGTTGAGAAGTCATTCGTTCTTTATTAAAATAATTATAGAAAAGACGTTTAGATTGTTTTAATAATTAATAAAATAATGTTAATAATATCACTAATTTTACCTATATATTCAGTAACTGAAGTCCTTGTATGAGATTTAAATACTTTCATATTTATTTAATGATATTATTATTATTAATTCCTGTTAAAAAATATGTAAAGAATAAATATTTTCAAAAAGATAAGATTGTTTTAAAATGGAATTTTTCAACAAAACAATAAAGAAAAATCGTGAAACATTTTTGCAAACAATAAACTCTAAAATCGTGAAACGTATTTGTACCAATATTTTCCGAGTTCAGCCTAGCTGTAAGCTTATTATTATTAGCGAGTATTATTATTATAGTAATTTTACTTTTTTTTAATATGATGACATTATACTCGATCATAATTTATAACAATAAAGGATTGGTTATGCTATACGGTCATAAAAACAATTGCCGCCGATATTAAATATCTACAGGGTTCCCTAGTAGACCAGTCAGTTCAATGACGTTTACAATCATCATTATGATTTTGTCCAGATAAAATTGTAAATTGTGATCTGTTGCACGAACACAAAAAATCTTAAATTTATGATAATGGTTTTTAACCAGCCACACAACTATTAAATTAGAAAATGAGATTTTTTTGTAAATTTCCTCATAAGGCTTTTTTGGTCAACAGAATCTGATTGCAAAGAAATAATCATTCATCAATCAATTACTTTTCCTCCATAATTTACCTCTCTAGAGCCTTTTTTAACTAATAGTGTTTTCATACCTTTTGACTCCCCTGAAGCGCTACCGCCGTCATTCAAGAGCATTCGATCTGCCCACTGGAGCATTACCAGAATAAATATCACAATTAGAGCTGTCATCAAAAGCAAACGCTCCGATGCAATTTGGAAAATGTTCATTGAAGATAGAGATTGCGGTGCTATTTTTGGTCTTGTGACGTTTAAATGCAATCATGCCTTTTTCGTATTGGAAGCTCCCCAAATATCCCTGAATTTCATCACACTAACACTAATACTAATATATTAATGTGTCTTTTCCTTCCGGGGCCTTGTAAATGTATAAGTTAAACTTTAGTAATGACGACATAATGTCAATTTTCTTAATTGCGTCATTTTTTAATACTTTTGATGCGCGCTGTTACACGAAATATATATATTATTACAAGTAATAAAAAGATGCCAACTTGTGTAGAATGTGGGGCACCTGTGACGAATCTTTATACAGAATATAGTGAAGGAAACATTCGTTTAACTCATTGTGTAAATAAATAAGTTTTATTGCAAACAACTTTATACGTTTTTTTTTAAATTATATAATAATTTTTTTCTTTCGTTGTTTTACTATAGGAAAAATGTAAAAAATTTGCAGATAAATATGTTGAACACGATTTTGTAATAATTTTTATTGATATGCTTTTACATAAACCACAAGTTTATCGACATTTATTATTTAATCGATTGGAATATAGAGATTATGGAATTAATGTAAGTTTTGTTTTACAAAATGGGGCGAGGAAAAGAGAGATCTAAAAATATTAAAAATATTATTTTATTATTTTATTTTTTAAAATTTCAAGCCAAATGTTTTAAAACTTGGGATATTATTAATACTATTTGATGTATGTATGTATTATTACTTATTATATATTATATATATATGAGATATATAATTATATAATATTATTATTTTTTTTAACAATTATAGATATTAAATGGTTTCGTCTAGAGAAATATTATAATGCATCAGATATTCCATTCATTGAACAACCTTTATTTCTACAATATTTATATATACTATTTCTATGTGTAATAGGTTTGAAATTATTATTTCTTATGATCAAATATATATAATGATTTTCTTATGTAATAATATTTTTTAAAAAATGTAGAATTTATTGTATTTCAATTTGGTGTAAGGCTTGCTGTAAGTTTTTATATTGGTGATAAATATGCAATAGTAAAGTGAGTGTGATTAAATAATAATAATATTAATTGATAAAGGATTTTAAAAAAAAAATCAATATTTCTTTTTTTATTAATAATCATCTTTATTCTTAGATATAATTATATTACTATGGCATTAATAATTTCAAGTTTTGGTAAAATTTTATTAATTTTAATGGTAATTTGGGATTATAATGAATTGGAATATTCATGGTTAATCAATATTGTTGTATTAACTTCAAATGTTGAAGCACTTGCAGGTAAACCATTAATATTATTTTTTATTGGGTTTTTTTTTGCACATTAATAATTATCATTATTTATAAAATAAAAAAATTGTATTTATATATAATATAGTATTTTTAAATACTGGGTATTTAAAAACTTTGTTAATAATGGTATTTGGTTTGACCTTGAAAATATTAGCACAAATGTTTTTTATTCAAGTAACGAATAGTCCTTTATTAATGACATTTCTAAGTATTTAATTTATAAAAAATAAGAAATATTTCATATGGCATAAGTGGAAGATGAAGAGTTGAAAGTTTGATAAATAGGAGATCTTTAGAAGATTGATTAGATCAAATTATAAAAGATTATTCATAATGTTAAGGTAATTAATTAAAGAATTTTAAAAAAACTCAATAATTTTTAAATAATATTAATTTAATTCTTTAAAAATACTTTACTTTATTCTAATAAAATATATGTGCAGGACATTGCTTTGTTAAAAATAAAAAAAAAAACAATAAACAGAGTGTTTGAGTACAGATTGCCTGTTACAATATAAATTATACTCCTATTCATAATCTTTTGATCCCTATTTGAATATTTGAATTTTATGGGAATAATATTTGAATGAGAAAATCTGGCCAAGATAAAAAGATTTGTGTAAAATTTTATTTACCAAGTAGTAGTAGAGTATAAGGCTCCAAGCGAATTGAATCAAGTCGGATTTTAAAGCAATTTGATTCAAATCAAATTGGATTCTTAAATTAGATATTTAAAAGTAAAATATATTTATAATAGAAGAAGGCAATTACAGTCAAACTTCATTTCAACAAATCCATGTCCCCATAAAAAGTTATGACAGAATAGGTATTGAATATATCCGGAATGAGTACATATGGGAAAAATGTATTTTGATGCTGAAACCATACTATTATGAGTGAAGATATTGCCAAATGTTTAGAACTAAAGATTGATACTAGTAAGATACACGATCTTTCAGGTATTGATACTGTTCCAATTAAGTCTATTGGAATTGTTCGTAATGTACCATCCCAGGTTTTATGATTTTGTGGTTGTCAGAAACTCCAAACCAATACTAGCATTAAGCAATCTCTTACTTAACAAATACAATTATGATTTACTTGTATCACAATGAGAGTTGAAAGCTACATGTAACGGAAAAATTTTCTATATTCCAGTTGTCATGCACAAAGTTAAGAATAAGCTTGAAGTGAATCGTGCTAGTGTAACCATTTACCGAGTTAAAAAAACGCGCATAAGTTATGGGGAACTCGAAAAGGCATTATATATTGCTCTTAAATACAAAGCTGAATTAATTGATCTCAATAAAACTCGCGTACACATTACGAAAAGTACACGAGTTCAATCAGCAAGGACACCAATCATTTCACAAATGGGAGCTCGGATAAAGAAAAGACAGATTAACTAAGTAGTTAATATATGTTGATTCAGATTTGCCCCTCCCTTTTTCGATTTCGCTCAATTAGAGTATGCGTACTAGTACTGGCACTGGAAAAACGAATTCCTTATGTCTCCATAAATCCCGTAGGTGTTTCGTATTAGTATGCATACCGTATCTATCATGTATTTTTTTTGCATTTTAATTTTAATTTTCACCGGAATATTCCGTACTAGTACATTATCCGTAAATCCTGCGCGTATTCCTACAAACTACAGTCAAACCTTGTCACAGCGGATGATAATCAAATTCTTGTCATAACAGATTTTTAAAATTTTGCTTCACGTACTAATATAAAAATCTGTTGTCACAAGATTAGTATTATTATTATAATTAGTAATCTTGCCACAACGGATTTTAAATAATAATAAATTTTCTTATTATTATTATGTGTTCCGTTCATCCGCTGTGACAGGATTTGACTGTAGTATGATACTTATATATAGATGGTTTTTGCTAGAAAACCCCCATATTAGTAGTGCGGAATATTTCTGGGGAATATTTTTCCGTGTGATTTCTATACATGAGAATGCAAAAAAACACGTAGAAAAATCTACCCCGTACCGTTTCTGTATGGGAAAGTTCATTTTCTCGCATTTGTATTCCATATGTGTTCAGTGCTAGCTAGTACATAGAATGGGACGCATAATAATAATAATAAGAAAATCGCACTTCAACGAATTTTATATTTAAACAAATTTTTAAAAATTCATTCTAACGCGAATTTGATAATTCGAATTTTCAGTGTATTAAATCAGTGTTGGCATTTTGTCGCTTGGTCGTTTCGGTCAACAAATATATATAAAATCATGTCGAAATCGAGAAAGTTTTGGCCGCTTTGACCTTTTTTTTTTTGGTCGGCCAAATGTCAATACTGGATTAATTATCCGAATCAAACCAAATCAAGATTCATTGTGTTAATCTATATATATTGATTCGTTCGGGGCCTTTAAATATGAAATTTTGTTAATTAGATTAATTGAATATTGATATCCAACATACAACCTATAAAGCGATTTTTTAATAAATAAATTTTTTATGTATTTTGGATTTATGTCTGTGAGTTCAGTTTTAATAATAATCTTTTTTTTTTTTTCACATCCAAATACATTAATCACATTTATTGATATTTCGTATTTGTGTGAACTATAAAGTGCTTTGACACATTCACACTTTAAATCATTTATTTCAAAATGAGCAAATTTTTAATGTCTTCGTAAACTAGATTTTTACTAAATGCTTGGTGAATACTTGTGCTTTAAACTTTTTATTTCAAGAAGAACTTTTGTTTGTATTGGTAATTGGGAATATTGATACGATGATTGGAGAAAAGAAAGAGGAAAAGAAAGAAAACCGTGTGAAGAATGTATTTTATACGATTAATTTATATTTATTTAATTAGGACCACCACCACCACGACCACGACCATAACTTCTAATAAATTCTGGTTGGAAATCACTAGATGCACCCTCCTTCTTTCCACCATCACC